GGGGGGGGGTAGTCTAATCATATGTCGTAAACAATACGCGTCACGAAGAACACTTCTGGATTGGACCTTCCTTCTGGCCTTTAATGCGTTTATAATTGTCGTTCGGGGTTGATTTAGTCTGAAACTAATTGGAGAACGTTTCCTCCCTTATTTACCCCTATAGCGAATCGCGGGCTTAATACGATTTGGGTTTTACTAGGATAGATCTGAGGGTGATAGCGCATAAGTGTCTATTGGTTTGGAAGACCCAAGCTCGTTACGGGTATTGGAAGTGGTGAGAAAATTTTTTTTTTTTTTTTTTTTTCGGGGATTTGATATAATATATATGATTTGATATATTTTGGAAAAAAAATTTTTTTTCGTGTCAGAAATATTAGGTATTCGGCATAATGCAAGAATTTTCGATCGTTTTTTATGGACGGACGTTGATAGTGAATGTTGGGCCTATGGTGCTTGTCGTCTATTTCTCGTGAAACCGTAACACTGAATTATGGTAATACGACGGTTTAACCATTGGAAAAGTTGTACCGTGCCGAACGTCGTACGGGACGCTACTACTGCCAGTGAGTGGGTTATTGATCCGACGATTGCTATAATTGAACACCTATGCTCGCTTACGAGATGGGCGGACAGTTCGACGCTAGCCTTTCAAACCATAACGCTTACGAGTATGAGGTGTTACGGACTCTCTCATTTCAGAGGTATACAGAGAGCCAGCGCTTGTAAATAGCCACTGTATAATGCAGTAGTCGGCCGGCTGAGTGTTCGGGGGAGGAAAAAAAAAGTGATTGTCAGGAATTTATCCATAGATAGGAAAAAAAAATGTAAAATTGAAACCAAATTTTTTCATTTTTTTTTTTTGTTTTTTCGACAATTCCGCGATTATGGGAGAAATTGACACATTTTTTTTCTTCGCTTCCGGTATACGAGTTTTTTCAACATTTTTTTTTTTTCATTCAACATTTTTTTATACTCAACATTCCTATTCTCCTGGTCCTTCCATAGCTTCGGTCTGTTAAGCGTCCGGCTACTACACTTTACCACTGTTACTCTCTTTTTATATCTTGTAAGATAATACACGTCTGTCCGACAAAATCTTCATGGTGATCGATAACGTCTTTGTAATCCTGTACCGGGCACGTAGTCACACTGTTAACTCGCAGCATCGTCGCACAGACGGCTTATGTGTTGTAAGTCATTTAATTAGCAGACTTCCGTGCCGTGAAGCAGAGACCCATTGTTCCCGGAATTAGGATTTTTACCGCGGGATAGCCTCGAACAATTACAGCAATCAGCGTATCCGGCATTTTTCAAGCGTTTCGCTTTTAAGCCACTTTTTTTCCCCTATTCGGCCATTGAAAACGGCAAGTAGCGGGTAACGGAGTATAGGTACACATTAAACGGTACCCGGGAGCAACAATTTGCGCGAAATGAACGGCAAAAACGTAAATACGATTAACGAAGTGATCGAACACCTATGACCCGTCATTCCTGTTTTAACGTTTAGCCAGTGACAACTGGTGCACCATTGAAAGAGAAAAAAAAGAAAAAGTAAACGAGAGATAGACATTTAGGTTTCTTCTTTTATATATAGAGTGAAATAGAGAGATATATATATATATATATAGAGAGCGACAGAAAGATGAAAAAAAAAACGAGTACACTCATTTGAGGAAAATTTGCAGTGTAAAAAATTGTAGCCACACCACATCGATAAAAAGGTGCAATTCGTGTTCGTGTTCTCTTTTATCTTAGGTGCGCGCGTTCTCGTGTGGGTGCCACTGAAAAAAGTTTTTTTTTCTTTTTTTTTTTCTTTTTTTTTTTTTTTAATAAACTGTGTAAGGCAAAATACAAATTCTCTGGTGTTCACGTTCGTAATACAAATTGCACGTGAGAGCATCTCGCCCGTAATAAGGGATAAATAAATAGAGGAGGGATGAGTGAAGATGAGAGGGGGGGAAATGAGGGATTAAAAAAAAAAGGTCAAAAAGGAATAATCGTGATGTGTTAAACGTGTTACGTTGTAAGCGTTAAACGACCGCCACCGAAAGCTTTTCGTAGATTTGATTAAATCATAAAATAAGTCAAATCGAGAAAATCAGCCCTTGCCGGTATCATAGGATCCCTATTGTCGCGAGATCTACTTACGACCGGGTCATCGATCGAGGATCGTTGGTCGCACTGTAAAGTGCGCATACGCGAATTCTGTATATGCCGGGCAGGGCGAACTTTCATGGATCGGACGAGACGAATGAGTAAAATATAAAATAATAAAAGAACCCAAAACCAAGATGAACGAACGAAGAGAAAACGAAAGCAAGTCCAAAGTAAAGGAAAGACAGGAGAGAAAAGAATAAGAGATAAAAGAATAACGTAACTGGACGAAACGAAAGTGTAAGAAAGTGAACCGTGTTAAGGAAATAAAACAAAAAAAAGTTACATATGTATATATAAGGTAAAAAAAAAATATAAAAAATCGCTCCCGCTTACCGGCGGACGTTCTGGACTTGTTCCTCGGCTTTTGCTGCTGCTGTTGTTGGGAACCGGGCGAGTTCGGGGTGTTCCCGTGGGATCCGAGGAGTTTCGCGTCCGGACTCACCCCGGGCACCCCGGTGGTCGCGTGATGGGATCCGGAGAATAGGGAGGAGCCGTTGTGAGGATTGTGGGAATGGTGGCTGGGATACTGTAGGTGCTGATACATGTTGTAGGCGGCGGTCGGGTCGTACTGGGATCCGGAAGTGTGGTGGGACGTCGCGTAAGAGTCCCTGGGAGAGGTAGCGCCCTGATTCTGGTAGTCCTGCTGTTGCTGATTGGCGCTCGCCTGCTGGTTCGTCGCCTGGTTCACTGAGCTCGTCGATTGGTTATTACCTTCACGCTGCTTCACCTGACCGGAACCGTTGGACCCGTTGTGCTGATGGGGCGGCGACGAGGCCCCGTGATGATGTCCAAGCATCACCGAGGGCTTTACGTCGCACGAGCTACCCGACGTCGCACTCAGGGCGTCCTGATGATGCATGAAGGCCCCCATCACGGCTGCGTGCGCCACCGCTGCCTGGTACTCGCTCGCGCCGCTGCCTAAACCAAGAGAACTCCCGTTGTTGTTGCTGCTCGTGTTGTTGTTCGCCGCGTTGCTGCTGTTATTATTGTTCGTAGTGCTGCTAGTGCTCGTCGTAATACTATCGGGGGTGGCGTCCTTGGGTGGCGTCGGTGGAAAGGAGAACAAGTGATGACCGCTGGCGGCGCCACCGTGACTCGAGAGACTGCTCGAGGTCGCCGGTAACGAGGACCCTAAGGGACTTTGGGGCTTGTCCTCACCGGCACCAGAAGCGCCGCCGCTCGAGGCAGTTGTCGCCGGGAAGCCCCAGGGCTTCGACGTGTCCGGACTCGTGCTCGGTAGCCACGGATGAAGTACGGAACTGTGAAAGTGCGGCCTGCATACTTGGCTTACCGGACCGCTCGTCACGCCGCTGCTCGACATTCTACCTGGAAAAGGCGATCAAGATCACTGCATTAGAAACCGACGGTGTCGCCCTCTACGAAACGTGGCAATTGTAACAGTCAATCGGGTGCACCGCGCTGAACGCGAATTACACCGGGGTATAAGCATGCGAAGAGAAGACGAGAAAAAACATTTCAGACAAATTCGCGAAGGGATACACTGGAGCGAGTGAAATGTGGGTATTTTGCAAAATTGCTTAATTGCGGCACGTCTTAATTAAATGGATTCAGAAAAAGCATACAGCTGTTCGCTGGACGTTATGTACGTGGGCTCTGGTATATGCCCTCCATCATGCTCGGTACAACAGTACAAGTCAGGGATAACGAATGTACTCGACTGTACATTAACGCACGGTAGCAATGTATGCTTATCGCGGCGTAATTACGTGTTCGTTAGCGATTTTCGTCCTGACGATAAAAATCAGCGGAAAGACTTCGTAAGGACACACTCTGTTACTTGGCTGCTCCAAGAGATTTCCTATCGTTTCTCAAAGCAAGGTAAAACCTACGTGCTCGTTCCCCGTAAGCAGGTTATATTCGCTCGAACGAATATTGATTACTTTTCAACTTGCACAGAGGGTTGATCCGAGAAAACGCGAATGAGGCGAAATTTGGAATGGGACACGCGTGTTCACAAGCTACTACGTTACAGTCAGGAAGATCCTGCACGTAGCCGTCACACCAGCGACCTCTACCTTCTTCGTTTCTTCCTCGACCAACACCTTTTCTTTGTCTCGTCTAGCAACATTGCTGCCACCGTCAGACCTTACCATACGAGTCGTATACAAGACACTCGACTAGACTTCTATCGGGGTTCCTCGTTATAGAGTGAAGTTGTCTGAGCATCCGATCGATATATCGAGTAGTTCTTGCGAGCGCGCTCGCCGCCACCTTCACGGCATACGCTGATAACAAGACTGTTTTGCCAGCCACGCTGAATTACGAGCATTAATTTAACCTTAAACCCAGGCCTCGACGTATTTCGTATCTCCCGCGTTCAAAAAAAAAATAAGCTCACGATAATTTATTACGCGTCAGACGAGTAGCCGTGAATCGTGAGAGCATGCAAAAATAATATAAAAAAGTGGTTCGACTTACATGAAATGAGGTTAACCAAGTGATCAAAATATTTTGTCCGTATTTCGCTACAATGCAAATGTCACTTGATCGCACAATTTTCCACGTACACAGAACGCGTTTTCCCCCCTCGGAACGAAGTCGAAGAAGCGAGGGCAAGAACGAAAAAGCGAGGAGAGAAAAAAAAGGTGAAAAAAAGAGAGAGACACGACGCTTCTCGCGTACCGGGCAGACGCAATAAAAACTCCCATAGCCAACGATATTTATTGCCCTCTAACCCTTCCGCTAAGCGTGGCCGTAATTTCGCGGGACCGTTTTTACGCAATTTCACCAAATTTTTTTTAAACCCCGCCGCCGCGAGCACAGCCAACGTAACCCCGTTCCCCGGAGCCCGCCGTCACAGTAACCGCCGCGCAGTTCCGTATAGCATTCTCACGAGCTGACATAACTCTCGGCCGCGTTATCTCGACGATATATTTTTGCCGGTACAGACTTTTTATCTTTTGCGCCGGATCGCCACGAGACAAACGAAAAGCGCTGCTTCGCTCAACAGCAATGGCCGACGACTGTGTGCTCGACGCCTCTTCGGGACGCCGTGCGTGCCCCGTTCTGCTCTCCTACTGCCAGGCCCCTATTACATGCTGTCATGAACTCCCGACCGGCCCACGACATTTATTCCCTTACCGCAGCGAGCGCGCAGGCACTTTTTCCGAATGTCAACAGGAGAGAATTCCAGCGCAGAGCCTTTCTGGTATAATAAAAGCGACAGAGGAGTATACCAATGTCGAGACGTCACTGTCTCGCCGTACACAACGAACAAGGGGATTAGAGCCGGCGCGAGGTCTGTTTAGTCTACGCTGGAGGAATGGCGAGCGGAAAAAGTCATAGAAATAAAAGGTCGTAGGATGAAAACAGGTCGGTTCCAATATGGCGCCGGCTTTTCCTCACTCGCTGCTTCGGACACGTTTCTTTGGACTCCAGCATCACTTACCCTGGCACCGAAAGAGAAATAAAATATACAACAGAGAGAATCGAGACCTTGCAGGTATACTATATACACGTGACATACAAAGCCAGACAATTGTATATCCATACGTTACACGTATTACTGAATAAAAATTTTTTTAAATTAATAAAAAAATCTACTTTTTTACGTGTAACACGTACTAATCGTATCCATAGATACGCATACGTATCTTCCTGTTTGACGCACGTCAAACAAATCCACTCGCATAAAACGCCGCCTCAGCTACACAGCCCGCGTGCATGGTTTAGCCGTGTAGGCGCGTAACGCGCATGAATATGCATGAAAAATGCAGATAGTCGCCATTATATCACGTATGAGATCAGAACGGCGCCCGATAACATCTGGCTTTTCGCCGGGCGCGTTTATAGTTTTCATCGTGAACGACGATCGAACGCGTATAATAAATAGAGAAAAAAAAATATATGCGATTACTCTAAATTCCTAAATTTTTTTTTTCCTCCCTAACCAACCCCGTAGCACACGCTTTTTATTGGACAATTTCATTTCTACCCAACCGCAAAACCATCATCCTTTAACTCGCGTACAGAAGCCACCCGGTATTAACGCATACCTATACGAAGAGACCGGATCCATATATCAAGAATCCCGACGACATGAATGGATTAGTCAACTGAGTTGTGTATGCAATTTATAGATAAAGGATTTAAAAAAAAATGAAACAAAAAAAGAAAAACACACTACGAATAGATACATTTATTCATACGCGTAACCGTGACTGCTTCTCTACGTATATAATAGTAATTACCTATATGACAATTTCTTACTATTTATTACGGTAATCGATCGGCCTGTCTTGTAATCCGGTCCGGTCATTTTGCATAAACCGCAGAGACACACGAGCCAGAGAGAGAGAGAGAGAGAGAGAGAGAGAGCGCGCGAGAATATTCATCCACTCAATAACTCAGGACATAGCAATCCCATATATACACGTATATATAACCATACTACGATCCAATGTAAGTTAAATATACATATATCTGGTATTCATACTGAATTAATCTTCCGCCGGTGTTCCAGCCGATTTTCCAACTGCCATTTCTGAGATCCCGGCAAGCACTGCCGCGCGATGGGTCTTTTCTCCCGGCGGACGTGGCGCAACGAGACAACGAATATAATCAAGGTGGCCGAGTATAATGAAAGCCGACGGAGTTTTAGCTTAACGAGATGAGCCAACATTCCGTACCGTTACCAACCACCAGCACCGAATTACAGGGTGCAAGAGAGAGATAGAGAGAGAGGGAGAGAAGGAGAAGCATACTGAATCCACAACGAGCTACAAAGCAGCACGACTGGGTAGCTTTTATCAAGATCCATATTATGCAGCCGGCGATCAAACACAGCCGAATACGCGCTCCTATAGTTACGTTCGCTTCGTTGTGGTACAATGAATGATTAGCGATTCGCACGAGCGATTCGTAACGCGCTATGGAAACTCATAGAATTCATTAAAACACTTTCAACGTCAAACTCCACTCAAATTAATTATCTTCGCTTTACGTCGCCTTGCGCATGCGCGCGGCACTACGTGCCTTTCGTAGCAGTCAATGGTGAATTGCCTACGCGCCTATAGGAAACACTGCTACCTGTCGCGACAGGTTTGAATCGTCGAGAATTCGATTTTTCTCAATTCTTATCGACGCTTCCAGCGTCTAATTGATATCACAGATAGCCGTATACAGATTAAACATTAACACGAGGCACGTACCTCGAGCAGTCACGAAATAGCGAAACGAAGCCTGACTGCTTTAACGTAAAATCATGAAAGCCTGATATACCGTATACCGTCTACACTATAGACCGGCGCAAGAGTACGAGGGTGGGTTCCGTGAAGTTCCTAAAGAAAATAACGTCTCATTTCGGTAGAGTGCCCTCCAGCTTCTTCGTAATAACATGCAATTTCACCAGGGGCTATCCGAAGCCGATCGTACTCGGGTCTTCGGATCGTTCGCGTAACGCTTCGGTTTACTCGAGAAGCGAGCGAGAGAGAGAGAGAGAGGGCCAAGTAAAATTGTACCAAGAGCAAAGGAGGAAATAGCGTAGAACGAGACAGAGAATAATACGTATAAGGAAGGCTAAGAGAGACGGCAAGGGGTCAAGTCGTCGGGTCAGTTGTCGGGATTGCAGGTTCTGCCGCTTCGTATTTTTCGCAGTAGCGACACAGGAGCAGCACTAACAGCAGCAACAGCAGCAACAGTTTCATCAGGGCCGAGAGAACGAGCGAGAGACCCTACCGACTTGGCTCCGCCTTCGGTTGGCGTGTGCATTTGCGCAAGATGGCGTCGTCCTCTCGTAAGTCGGTCCCGTATGTATATAGATACGTAGGTAGGTAAGATTGGTCAGCCGGTGAGGTTAGGTTAGACGTGTGCACCGAGTATATATGTATAGGCGAGAGTGTAGGGTTCACAGTCTCTCGTCGTCACAGTACAGTACTCCGTAGGACAGCTGTGAGAGTAGCGGAGCCTAGGATGGTTGGTTGGTATACCACTGCAGCATAAAACAGCTACGTATTATAAAGCTCCCTGTGGCCTGTAATTACGTATGCACCTCTCTCGGAGCCCGTGGCTTCGCGGTTCGCTGCGCTTCCTTCCTGTCTGCCGCAACCACTGCGCCAGAGGGCCATTGCCCATATTTTCTTTCGTATTTATCCCGGGGCATTGGGCATTCTCATTTTTCTTCATTCGAAACATAAAGGCCACTTGGCTTTGGCAAACGAAGCTTGATTCGTCGGCACGGCAAAGGCGAGCGTTGAAGTGTGAAAAATGAAAGAGGAAAAAAATTTTACACGAGGCATAACCAAAAAAAAAAAAAAAGTCA